GGTCATACTTGCCGATTGTGAAACAAGTTTGTGACATCATATTTTGGTGATCATAAATTTGTCCATCACGCAGTGCATTTAATGGTGATCAGAGTGTGGATTTGGGTGCGTTAATTATTCAGGGTCTCACATTCCCCCTAACTACAAAAATTTTCGTCCTCGAAAATTATAAATCTTACCAGGAAACAAGTGAGGGTATAGCTCCTTCATAGCCTCTTCAACCTCCCATGTTGAGTCGCCAGTCCTTGCGTCCCACACCACCTTGACAAGACGAACGTCCTTTCCTTTGTAGAGTTTGGTGCGGCTGTCTTCCACGTAAACGGGTTGCATCTCTAGCGTTCGGTCTGGGCGAAGTTGGACGTTCTCCAACTCCAGTATGTGTGATGGATCAGCTTTATACTTCCGGAGTTGGGAAACGTGGAAGACTGGATGGAGGTTGGACAGTTGAGGTGGTAAAGCTAACTTATACGCCACTGATCCAATCTTCTTCAGAATTTGATAAGGTCCTACGAACTTGGGAGACAGCTTCTTTGGACGAAGGACTCTTCCCACTCCAGTGATCGGATTCAGCCTTAGAAAAACGTGGTCTCCTGCAGCGAACTCTAAGGGTCTTCTTCTCTTATCAGCATAAGATTTCTGTCTGCTTTGAGACGTCTTCAGTCGCTCTTGGATCAATTTTACCTTCTCGGTCGTCTGCTGGATTAGATCAGGTCCGGTTAATACATTCTCTCCTTCTTGGAACCAACACAGTGGCGTTCGACATTTCCTTCCGTAGAGAGCTTCAAACGGTGCCATTCCTATGCTTGCTTGAAAACTGTTATTATACGTGAATTCAACGAGCGGCAGAGTTTCATCCCATACTCCCATATGATCTAGGACGCACGTCCTCAATAAGTCCTCGAGTGTCTGGATGGTTCGCTCAGATTGGCCGTCTGTCTGAGGGTGATAGGCCGAACTCATCTGCAACTTGCTCCCCATTTCTCCTTGTAACGATTGCCAAAAACGAGATGTTAATCTCGTGTCTCGGTCTGATATGATGCTCGAAGGAACTCCATGCAACCGAACGATCTCCTTAATATACATCTTGGCCAAGTTTGTCATTGACATCTTCAAGTTAACGGCCAGGAAGTGGGCGCTCTTAGTTAATCTATCCACAATCACCCAAATTGAATCATGGTTTCGGACTGTGCGTGGTAGATGGGTCACGAAATCCATGGAGATGTTGTCCCACTTCAACTCTGGAATCTCCAATGGCTGCAGCAATCCGCCTGGTCTTTGGTGTTCGGCCTTTGAACGCTGACAAGTTAAACAGGACGCTACAAAACGTGCAATGTCACTTTTCATTCCCGGCCACCAGAATGATAAACGAAGGTCTTGATACATCTTAGTCATGCCAGGATGCATGCTAAGACGGCTATGATGCCCTTCCTCCAGGATGATTCTCTTCAGCTCACCATCGTTTGGAACGCACGTCCTACCCATATAACGCAGTAGACCGTCCGTTCCAGTACTGAACTCCTTAGCCTGATCTGTGCCGAGCGTACTTAATATCTTAGCCAATTCTTCATCCTCACGCTGCTTCACTCTGATTCGGTCGAACACATCACTGGAAATTCTAAGGTTACAGCATCTAATAACGTTCGCTCCTAAGTCGAACTGTAACCTTAGATCTCTGAAACTTTCCACCAAGCTTAGCTCTTTCACCATCATTGCCGAGACTCTGACTGCCTTCCTACTCAAGGCGTCCGCTACCACATTAGCTTTCCCAGGATGATACAACAACTCAAACTCATAATCCTTCAAGAATTGAAGCCACCTCCTTTGCCTCATATTCAACTCCTTTTGATCAAAGAGGTACTTGAGACTCTTGTGATCACTAAAGACTTGTAACGTTGCTCCATACAGGTAATGCCTCCAAATCTTTAGTGCAAACACGACTGCTGCCAACTCTAAGTCGTGTGTGGGGTAATTCTTCTCGTGGACCTTCAACTGCCTAGAAGCGTACGCCACTACCCTCCTTTCCTGCATCAGTACGCAGCCCAAACCTTGATACGACGCATCACAATACACTTCAAAAGGTTTGGCCGTGTCTGGAATAACCAACACTGGGGCGCTCGTCAATTTTCTCTTCAATTCTTGGAAGCTCTCCTCACAACGATCGGTCCAGGCAAACGGTTGATCCTTCCTGGTGAGATAGGTCAGCGGAGCTACTATCTTGGAGAATCCCTCAATGAACCGTCTATAATAGCCCGCGAGCCCCACGAAGCTCCTAACCTTTGTGACCGAACGTGGACTNCAACAAAGTGGCGTTCGACATTTCCTTCCATAGAGAGCTTCAAACGGTGCCATTCCTATGCTTGCTTGAAAACTGTTGTTATACGTGAATTCTACGAGCGGCAGGACTTCATCCCATACTCCCATATGATCTAGGACGCACGTCCTCAATAAGTCCTCGAGCGTCTGGATGGTTCGCTCAGATTGGCCGTCTGTCTGAGGGTGATAGGCCGAACTCATCTGCAACTTGCTCCCCAATTCTCCTTGTAACGATTGCCAAAAACGAGAGGTGAATCTCGTGTCTCGGTCTGAAATGATGCTCGAAGGAACTCCATGCAACCGAACGATCTCCTTAATATACAACTTGGCCAAGTTTGTCATTGACATCTTCAAGTTGACGGCTAGGAAGTGGGCGCTCTTCGTTAATCTATCCACAATCACCCAAATTGAATCATGGTTTCGGACCGTGCGTGGCAGATGGGTCACGAAATCCATGGAGATGCTGTCCCACTTCCATTCTAGAATCTCCAATGGCTGCAGCAACCCGCCTGGTCTTTGGTGTTCAGCCTTTGCTCGCTGGCAAGTCAAACAGGACGACACAAAACGTGCAATGTCACTTTTCATTCCCGGCCACCAGAATGATAAACGGAGGTCTTGATACATCTTAGTCATGCCAGGATGCATGCTAAGACGGCTGTGATGCCCTTCCTCCAATATAATCCTCTTCAGCTCACCATCGTTTGGAACGCACGTTCTCCCCATATAGCGAAGTAAACCGTCCGTTCCAGTATTGAATCCCTTAGTCTGATCTGTACCGAGCGTACTTAATATCTTTGTCAATTCTTCGTCCTCACGTTGCTTCATTCTGATTCGGTCGAACACATCACTGGAAATTCTAAGGTTACAGCATCTAATAACGTTCGCTCCTAAGTCGAACTGTAACCTTAGATCTCTAAAACTTTCCACCAAGCTCAGCTCTTTCACCATCATTGCCGAGACCCTGACCGCTTTCCTACTCAAGGCGTCCGCCACCACGTTAGCTTTTCCAGGATGATACAACAGTTCGAACTCATAATCTTTCAAGAATTCAAGCCACCTCCTTTGCCTCATATTCAACTCCTTTTGATCAAAGAGGTACTTGAGACTCTTGTGATCACTAAAGACTTGAAACGTTGCTCCATACAGGTAATGCCTCCAAATCTTTAGTGCAAACACGACTGCTGCCAACTCTAAGTCGTGTGTGGGGTAATTCTTCTCGTGGACCTTCAACTGCCTAGAAGCGTACGCCACTACCCTCCTTTCCTGCATCAGTACGCAGCCCAAACCTTGATACGACGCATCACAATACACTTCAAAAGGTTTGGCCGTGTCTGGAATAACCAACACTGGGGCGCTCGTCAATTTTCTCTTCAATTCTTGGAAGCTCTCCTCACAACGATCGGTCCAGGCAAACGGTTGATCCTTCCTGGTGAGATAGGTCAGCGGAGCTACTATCTTGGAGAATCCCTCAATGAACCGTCTATAATAGCCCGCGAGCCCCACGAAGCTCCTAACCTTTGTGACCGAACGTGGACTTTCCCAATCCAGCACTGCTTTCACCTTGGCCGGATCCACTGAAATACCTCCAGCAGAAACGACGTGCCCCAAAAACTGGATTTCCTTCATCCAGAATTCACACTTTGACCTCTTAGCATACAATTCTTTTTCCCTCAATACGTTCAACACGATCCTCAAGTGGTCTTCATGCTCATCAAAGCTCTTGGAATAAATGAGGATGTCGTCAATAAATACTACAACAAATTTATCCAAGTATGGTCTAAAAATCCGGTTCATGTAGTCCATGAAAATTGCAGGTGCGTTCGTCACTCCAAAGGGCATCACTACGTATTCATAGTGTCCATAACGAGACCGGAATGCAATCTTCGGAATGTCTCCTTCCTTCACTCTAATTTGGTGATAGCCCGAACGTAAATCAATCTTTGAAAATACGCACGCACCTTGCAACTGATCCAGTAGGTCGTCAATCCTTGGCAGTGGATACTTGTTCTTGATGGTCAGCTTATTGAGTTGCCTATAATCAATGCAGAGCCGAGAGCTGCCATCCTTCTTCTTTACCAACAACACAGGCGCTCCCCAAGGTGAAGCGCTCGGCCTTATGAACTTCTTATCCAGCAACTCCTCAATTTGCTTCTTAAGCTCGACCAACTCGGCTGGTGCCATTCTATAAGGTTGAACCGAAATGGATGCAGCAGTTGTCACCAGGTCGATCGTGAATTCAACCTCACGAATTGGAGGTAGACCAGGGACCTCATCCGGAAAGACATCCGGGAATTCATCCACTACCGTTCGTTCTTTACTGCTTCTAGTGTCGGACGAACGCTCCACTTTCGCGTCCCTCACTTCTTCATCTTCATATGTCATGATCAGGAAACAGCTCGCTCCTTCCATGATATCCTCTTTCAGCTGACCGAGCGTGACTGATAATTCCTCCTCTTCTTCATCTGGAAAGACTAACTCCTTCTTCCCACAATCAATGAGAATCCGATTGGTAGCCAACCAATCCATCCCCAAAATTACTTCTAAGTCTTGTAGGGGTAAACAAATGAGATTAACCTTAAATCTACGCCCCTCAACTTCTATAGGACATCTCACACAAACTGTAGATGTCTTAATCCCACCAGCCGCTGGGGTTGACACCACCAAGTTGAACTGTAATTCACTCTCCACTAGCCCCAGTTTCTTAACGCACGCCTTCGAGATGAAGGAATGAGTTGCCCCCGAATCATACAACACGCCACACGGCTTTCCAACAATAAGCAAGTGCTGGTGATGAGTGTACCTGAACGAGCAGCTTCAGCACCAGTAATTGCATACACTCTCCCCACTGCTTGCGCTCGTCCACCTCTTCCTTGCTGCGTTCTTCCAGCGTTAGGCGGCCTCAGTGCCGCTCGTCTTCCCATATTACACTCCTGATCTGAGTGTCCGCTCCTTCTACACTTGTTGCAATATTTTCCCCCAATCAGCTGAGGACAAGCCCAACGATAGTGTGGTCCTCCACACTGATAACATGTCAAGCTCCTTGGCTGTCCAGATTGGCCGACAGTGACCAAGGCTTGTGATCCGCCAGGGGATTGAGTTGGACGAACGTATGGTGACCTTCTCGCGTTCGCAGTGTTTCTGGATACAACCGGCCCCCTACTCAATTGCTGCTTCTTATGTTGCTCGGCCTCAGCAACGTTCTTCTCCAGTACCTTTGCTCTCTCGACCATGGCAGGGAACGACCTAATGCACAGGCTGGAAATCAATACTTTCAAGTCACTTCTCAGCCCGTTCTCAAACTTCCGGCATTGCCGTTCTTCACTTGTAGCCATGGTATTAAAACGGACCAGGTGCTTGAATTTGTTGGTGTACTCCGAGACAGACATACCACCTTGTACCAATTGAAGGAACTCAACTTCCTTAGCAAAACGCACACTGTCCGGGAAATACTCTTCATAGAATTTAGCTCTGAAAACCTCCCAAGTAATGGGACTTTGAGCTTCAGCCAGTAACATCTTCATACTTGACCACCAATGGCTAGCTTCTCCCGTCAACAAATACTCTGTGAATGCCAAACGGTTGTCGTCCGGACACCTTTTGGCATCATAGATCCTCTCCATATCCCTCATTCATTAATCCGCTTCATCCGGAAGCCCTTTTCCATTGAACTTGGCAGGGTGGTGTTGCAGGAAGCTTTCCAAGCTCCACTCGGCATGATGCGCAGTGTTGGAAGAGGACGCTCCTGGTGCGCCCCTGGTAGCGGCAAGGATATCCATCAACTGCCTCTGGGTTGCTTCAGAGTTGACACGCGAAGCCTCCAAACTCTGCATTGCTTCCTGATTTTGCCTCATTAAGGCGGCGTTCTGCTCTACTAAGGTTGTGTTCTGTTGTTGCAGCCTATCAATGACCGTCTCCAACATCCTAGAATTATTTGGAGCGTCAGACTCGTTAGGCTGTGGTGGAGGAGGCGGTCTAGGCGCCATTCGTTCTCTGGTTCACAGAGAAAGACGAGCGTTAGAATTGTTCAAGAGTTAAAAACAATAACTCATTAAACACATAACAAGCACACAACGAAAGCACAGTGTACTCATAACCCTACATGTCCTTAAAAGAACAAAACTGCTCTGATACCAATAAATGTAACATCCCAATATATAGTAATCACCATAAATTAGAACTAATCACATTTACAGTAAACACAAACAGTCTTAATATAAATAACAGCTGTTCCAAAAATAAAACAGCACGTACAGTAATTTACAGAAAGCTGTTCAAGAAATCTCAAAAACTGAACATACACACATAACAGTACTCAGAAATAAAAAAAACAGCACCAGTTACTGACACGTTCGCAACACTATACAGTCCACGGCCCAAAATGCTATACAGGAAGACTAACGATTAGCTAATCCTGTCTAAACATTGCTGTAAAACTACCATACACA